TATATATTTTTTGTATGTAAGAAATGACTTCACGCAGTCAGTTTTCTACCACATTGTAACACCAGCTTAAAAATCAAGGCAACATATAATTTACAAATACAAGCAATAAAATCTTACAAATATAGTAAAATAACATTGTTTAGTTACGTGTACACTGAATAACTCATTACCCCCATTTCCATTGTGTAGAGTAAGAACAGTAGGTGGTCCAGGAACTTCTACTTCATACAATAAATCAGATCCCTAAAGAAAAAGAGAAGCATCTTGAATGAGTTCTGTAAAAAAAAGCCCCAACAAAACCACAGCAACCAAATCCTCCAAAAAACCCAAAACACCAACCACAAATGAAACCAAACACCCACAAGCATAAGGACAAAATTATTATGGATAATAGCAACAGATACATTTCATTTATATGAACTCTCAATACCTATGGGAGAACCACTTCTAAGCTAAAACAGGGTGAAGTTTATATAAGTAAAATATAGGACTCTTGAAATATGTTATTATTAAAAATAATCTGCAAATTTGTCTGGCAAATAAATTTGTTAAACCACTTAATATCACTCAGACTCATCACAACAGTAATTTGTGAGAGAAAGAATTTCCAAACCGATGAAGACTTACACATTCAATTCCCTTATGTGAGCACTTTTAGTTAGAAGGGACCAATTTGTTATCTAATTCCACCTTTGAATTCCAAAGTCTATTTATAGTAGTTTTATTAAACTTCACTTTGCAAGTTTATAATAATGATTTTCCTTTTATTAAAAAAAAAAAGTACCAGCCTTATAGATGGTAACACTGCCAAGTAACATGCAATATCCTTATGAAGTTTAAACCACGCTGATTCCCGTAAGAATTAGCCCAATTCTATGGCATCAGTATATAAAACATAAACAAGCGAGTATTTTAACCTGTAAAACTCTGAGGACTCTATCCTGACACGCAAGTACCGGTGTAATGCAATTCACTTTATCTACAGGAAGGCAGAGAACATCATTGATTTTATCTCCTGATAGGTAGTAGTGCTGGTCTTTGCAGTCGCAGTAATGGTTATAGATGTAGCTTGCACAAAGAAAGAGATCTGCTCCTGAAATATGCCTGAGAAAAAGAAAACACTTCTTGTAGCATTTTCCCAGTACAGCTGCAGTGAGAGTCTTTTAGCCGTACTATTTTTATGCACTACCACTTGCAGATTCAAGGCATTAGTGAGTCCCGCAACCTGTTCCAGCTATTAGAAAAAAGTTTCTTATGAATGCTAAACCCACGTGATTTCTGTCGTTCTCAAATTTCCTATTTTGTCTTCACATAAAAATCCTAAGAATACCTTTACAGAAATTTCATTGCTCTATTTTGATGATATTCATTCTTCTCAAACTGGTTTATATATGGCAGCATCTTACAACATGATCCAAACAGAAAAACAAAAAAACCTTGTTCCTGTTCTACTACAGAAAGAGTATACGGACATGATACACTATGGCACTAACCCCAACTCCAACTGTGTTTGCACTGATGCGAGTGCCTCCAGACCCCTCCCAAGCCCCCGCACACTTTCTAAACTTCACCGTGATTCTCTAAGTTCCTTCCTACATGTCATCGCACAAGCTAAAGCTGGACTGGCACTCAGAGTTACCTACAAGCACACAGCGCGGCAAAATATCATACATACATAGCTTTGATGCTTTCAGTGAGGTTAGTTTCAAATGAAAGAAACTGCTTCCCTCTTTTTGTGAAACCTCTGACTTCTGACCCTGTAGCCACAAAAATTTTCTCTTGTGGTGTATTAAGAGCTCCTCCCAACTCCAGTCTTGCAATTTTTTTGCCTGGCAGAGTCTTGAACACTGGCTGCAAATAGAAAAGCAATTTTCATCATCACAATATCGTATTTATGGTAATCATTTAACATAAAGAATAATAAACTTGCTTTACAGTTTCTGGCAAAAACTAAGGATGCTATGGATTACATGCAGACAAAAATAATCTGCACGTTTCTCTTCATACTCACAAAGCAGTCAAGAATTTTGTAAGTCAATAAATAGAAAAGGCTGTAAAATATAACAAATTAAGACTTTATTATTTCAGTGTTACTCATCCATAGGACGATTTCAGCACTGCTGGTAGCTGTAAGGTTTTTGTTTGTTTCTTTTTTCTAAAGAACAACACACTCCCTCCCTCCCTCGCTCTTACATGTTGCATTTTTATTCCAGAAGACTACATAGATTATTTTTTTTGTATTGCTATAGAGTCCTTATGAGCTGGCTATGAACTTTTTCAAGGGGAAAAAGATAAAATAAAATGATTTTTTTTATTAAGCTAGGCATCAGTCTAGGCTCTTAAAAAGCAATTAGTTTGTCAAAATACCCTAAAGTGACTGACTTGATGAATCACTGCAGGTTTTTCCCCAGTCACAGTATCCGACTATGTGTGCAGGCTTAAGCCTAACCAAACTGCAAAGCAAAAGGTGGTAAACTGACTTTTTTTTGTGATGATATACACTAGTGTCCAACTCTACAGCCGTGGAGGACCATGTGCTTGTCCAGGCATGAAATCTGCACTCCCTTCTCATGGTTTAGACATCAGTCCACAGCTCTACCTAGACACCTTCCCCAGGTATCTTGTTTCCCATGTCAATAAAACCAGAATTTTAAAGTTCATTAGGAAGAATATTTAAAAAATAGAATTTTAAACAGGACATTTTCACTTACCACAGCTTCCCCTTTTTTTATGCCAAAACATGTAATGACTCCATCCTGATCTCCAACCACCACCTTCAAAAGTATAATATGTTATTTTGATTACCTGAATAAATATTTTTTAAATAATGCTTTTCCTACATTAATCGTATTTTCCTATATTTCAGTGCTTTAAATTCTACAGTACTTAATTTACACAGCTGTATGTAGGAAAGCTAGCCGAACTGCTATAGGCAGAACACTAAAGCGTAAGAACAATCATTTAAGTGATAGCATTTACAATCCTTTTTCTGCCTCTAGTTGCAAACACCAGCAACCATCAGGTGGAACACTCCAGAAAGGTGTATTCGGGAATAGTTCTATTTTCATACGGAGAATGTATTATTAAAGCAAAAAAGGCACTGTTATTTCTGTAGAGTTTTACTAAGGTTCTTTAGCTGGAATTTGTATTAAGGAAAATTTAAAAAAAGAAGTTTCTCATCTATACTAAGTGTTGGCAAAACAGAAATAAGAGAAACACGCAAGCACTTCCTTGCGGTTTCAGCAACGCCCGAAGTTTTGAAAAGCGCTTATGGGTGCCGCCAGTTTTCCAGAAACAAATTCAGTCTTTTTTTCCCTCTATTTTTTTTCAACACTTTTTCAAACAGTTCCAAGACCCGGGTTCCAAAGTTTCTCCCTCCGACACACTAACTCCCAGCAGCCGACCAGTGACACCGTCAGGCAGGCTCCCCCGGCGGGAGAAGCCCCGCG